AAGGGTGAGCATGTTTGGTGTGACAGGGATTCGAACCCGCGACCCTCAGATTGCGAGTGCCTTAACCACCTGGCTATGCCGGGGCTTGTATTAAGTAAATAAACTAAACTATATAGTAGGTCTCATAATATAAGTGAAAACACACAAACATTCGCCTGTTTTTCATCATCCTTTCTTAAAATCCGATTTAATTTAGAATTAATTCTTGTCGACGTAAACACATTGAAACGGTTGCATCAGAGATAAACAAACATGATTATTTAAGACATTTATGGTTTTTGGAGTCCAAACGACCTATCTTAAAACTAATATGTCAGTTAAGCCTAAATGTATCGGTAAACTATTACAATCTCATATAACAATAACGATATTGACCAGCTTTTCTTCACCATAAGGTAATCTAAATTATTTTATGTATATGAATAATGTTATGACATTTCGTCGAATTCATTGTTCAATATCATACAGCGGATCAGCTGTTTAATGAATGTACATATATATACTTGAATTAATATACTTGAAACAGTCGGTTATTAGTGAAACTCCATAATTACAAAATTTCGGAAGAACAAGACAATTGTACGCTTCACAAATATATTATTTATTCACAACCATGATGATGCCTTTACTGGCGAAACTATGGTCGTGAATAAATGATGTATTTGTGAAACGTACAATTGTTTTGTTCTTCCTAAATTATATATATATATATGATGCATTTCATCTGTGGTGAAAAATAGAATAAATCTTTAATATATATATATGTTATTCATTAGGTTTTATTAGTTTAGTTTCTGTATTTATAGATTAAAAAACATCAAAATAGTTGTCCATTTCATAAATATCAGAAAATGCGTTCTTTACTGTTGTTACTCGTCACAAAATGGGGCTTTTATAACACGAAACACAATTAAGTGAAGATATCATTTCCTTTCTGTTTTAATGTGTTTATTTTTGTTATTTAGTAACTATAATTATGAAATATATTTCTAATGACCTAATATTTACATTAACTGCACTAGCCTGCTCTGCATTTTAAGTTGTTGTTTTTTTCGAATACCTTCCAATGTCATAAAGCTATTTTCTTCTTTTTTAGATTTTCTTCTAGGTTGCTTTTGATGTGTCAAAGTGAACTTTTTCCTTTATATAGTTTTTTTTACTCCTTTTGGTGTATAGATGTGAAAACCTCATATTTGTTATAAAGTTAAAAATGGGAATCGTATGTTTCAAAATTATGAAATAATTAATTTTAAAAATTTTCGACGGTGTTTTGAATAATGTGAAAATTGTATTAGTAAATAATTTTGTTAATGACACTTCAAATTATTCGGTGCAATTTTCTTAGGGGGTCCATCTTTTTTGCATTACTTTTCGGGGACCCGCAATATGACGGGCCCGTAGGTGCGTTGCCACGATTGCACCGACGTTAAATACGCCACTGTTTTAGTATAACACAATTTGGAGGAAGAAAGAAGTCTCTACGGTTGCTAAGTTCTAGACAAAATTTCAAGTATGAAGTACATATTTTGTGTAAAATTATTAATTCAAAAATTAATCAAAATGTGCCTTTAAGGAAATATACAATCAGTCACTGACTTGTACTCTAAAATTTGTTTAGTTGTGTTAAAAGTGTAAGTGTCAGATATATTTATTAATATTTCATTACTATCTTAAATGATACTGTTACGATTTTGATTTAGAGAATGAGGAACATAAACTTATAAATTATGTGAGTTTATTTGTTTGTAATTATGCACAAAGCTACACAATGGGCTATCTGTCCTCTGCCCACCACGGGTATCGAAACCCGGTTTCTAGCGTTGTAAGTCCGCAGACATACCGCTGTGCCACTGGGGGTCAAATTATGTGAGATTTGTGCATTGATACATAAAAAATGATTCACAAAAAATCCTGTAAAAATTGAGCGTATAGCCCTAAAGAACCAGAGTTATGTAATAAAATCTTAAAATCAATGTTCTCCTAATACACAGTGGCCCAATAATCAGTTGACCCACTTTTAATCCTCTTCTGTGTGGATAACAGCATTCAAACTCTTTGGTTCTTTATCAGTTTGCGTTTCATGCTTATATGCTGTTCAGATAAACAATAACCTGAAAAAAGAAGAAAGTTAAAAAATAACTAGTATTTTAATTTGGAGCAACTAATTTTTAAATCACTCTGCACATCTTGATTTAAATCGCCAATGATAAATGTCAATCAAAAGATAAGTCATTTTAACAAAACAGTTGAAACACTGTTTACCTCTGCGGCAAGTCTGATGGCTTAACGCTAAGCATCGGATTTCGATATTCGCGGTGGGCAAAGCATAGATAGTTCATTGTGTAGCTTTGTTTTTATCAAAAACAAACAACCCGTACTTTTCTCACAATAACCCAACTAACTTTTAAAAGTAAGAAAAATCAACATTGTTTTGTTATTTACCATGTTTAAGTCGATTATTTTATTATTTACTAAATAAACACGCCATTCTAGATATAATAAACATACACAAATCAAGTTAAAACAAGGAAAGAGCAAGAAATGAATGTATTATATTTGATTGTTGTTTCACCCATCATTGACCCCCAACAGTGTACGTGTGGGAAATTAGGGCATAAACAAGTTGTTATTTTTTTTCTTTCAATTGTAGTTAACGTCCCACATCAAAGGGGTGAGTGAACGTGGTTTAGGTCTTGAACACCCCTAGTCACATGACCAATTTGCATGCAGAAATAGGAGACACTCGCAACTTTACCTTTCGCCTAAGGACATAGAATATGCATCCAAACATATTGACTTGTTTCAACGTCTAATATCGAGAATAACTTGAATCCTGAGACATGGCTATACAATAACGACTTACTAAAGATGTTCCAGTCTAGCCAACGCAACAGTCAAGTCGAATTTATCAAAACATTAAAAAACATTTTTTTTTTCACAAGATACATGTAACTTAGACAACAAAAAAATAAACACTTAGAATTAATCGACCTACTATTGTGTTTCGAATACTAGTATCCAAACGCAATTTTATAATAGAACAAACAAAAAAGTTTATCAAATTGCAGAAAACACGTTATATAGTCAAACCCAAACCCTGACAAACTAAAATTTGTCTCAAGTGATAGTGTGTTCACGGATAGTTTTTTATTTTATTACTCTGGCTTTTTTTTTTAGAACAAAGCCACATTGGGCTGTCTGCTGTACCTACCTCGGGAAATCAAACCCTGGATTCTAGTGTTGTAAGTTCGTAAACTTACCACTGACCCACCGGGAGACAGGCAATACGATGGCAAGAGCAGATAAATTAAGCCATTTGAAACGACTGTGAGCTTGTGGTGGTGGCAGAAAGATGTAGCATGTTTATTATATGTAGTGTGGTTTGTTTGATATAATTATATTAAGATAATGATCATTCGTAGATTCTGAAAACTATATTAAACAGAAAATAAACTTATCGATACGTTCATTGTGTAATGAAGAATATTTGATTTGTTGTTTATCACATAATTTAACTTGCTCAAAGGAAATATTTTTCTGTATTACAAACAATACTTCTCGCACAAACTTCAAAAAAGAAAGACAGAACTAAATACACATGAATCCTTCCAATACAACATGAATTTTAATTGAGATTTCAATTATGATACACAAATA